GCTAGAAAACCTGGGGGGGGGACGGGGGACATGAGCTGGGACCTGGAGCAGGTTTATGGGGCCAGACGCTGTGGAGACCAGTTCTCAGCACAGGGGGGTTGGGTTCAGACCCCAGTCCTACGGTTCAGGGGTGGTTTTGGAAACAGGGGGACCCCCCCACCTGCAGAGCAGGGTCTTTGTCCTGCCACCACCCCACTGCAGTCGTGCCTCAGTTTCCCCCCTGCAGCAGCATCTGGGGAGGGCTGAACCGTTCCCTGTGGAGCCCAAGGCTGGGGAGGGGGGTGTCGGGGTGTCCCCATGGGTACTCAGAGGTGAGAAGGAGGTTGTAGGGTGATGGGGGACCACAGCGGTGGCAGTGGGGTCGGTACTTACCCGCCAGGAGGGCTGCCCGTCAGGTGTCCCCTTTGGCGTAGATGTTCCCAAGCGGCAACCAGACCTGCGTGTCCTGCAGGATGTGCTCACTGTTCCCCGCAGCCGGTCTGGGGGGGCACCGGCCACCGCTCAGAGGGGGCTGGGGGGCTCTACCACCTCCTCACCCCATCCTGCACCCCCAGATCCAACAGGCTGAGCACCCGCAGCGGGGTGAGGCTGGGGAGCGGAGAAGGACCCCATCCTGGCAGGGATGCAGCGGGGGAGCGCAGAGCCTGGCCACATCCCAGTGCCCCGGGGACAGCTCTGGCACCCAGCCCCGGCGCCCTGGTACCCACCCACTCCAGCCTTGGGCACAAAAAGCCATCGCTGGGGGAAAAAAATGGCATTTCCAGGAGGGTTGTCCAAACCTGCCAAGCAGAAAGCGAGCTCCGGGCGGTGAGCAGAGCCAGGGCTGGGGCGCATCCGGGCAGGGCAGTGCCCTGGGCTCAGCCCCGCTTCCCCAGCCATTGAAAGGCAAACAGACTTTTTTCCCCCCCCTTTGCTTGTTTTTGGGGTAACTAAACCCAAAGCAATAGTCAAGCCTAAAGAGCAGGTTTGCAGCACGTGCTGGGGAAGCCAATGCCTGGCGAGCAAAGCCGCACGCCACCCGGTATCACCATGTCCCGGCATCACCGTATCCCAGCACCGAGGAGCTCTGTCCCCGCCAGCTGATGCTGTGCCCTGTAAAATGGCAAGCAGCGGCGATGGCAGCCCCGAGCCGGAGCGATGGGAGCTGGGGTCTGCGGGGGAGGCAGAAAGGGCGGAAGAGCCCGCAGGGATGCTCGTGCATGGGGATGTCCCCATGGGACATGGCAGCGCGGTGGCTCCTACCTGCTCCGCTCCAGCACCACAGCCACCGCTGAGCCCCAGCTGCCGCCACGTTATGGTTCAGTGGCTGCTGGGAGCGAGTGAACAGGAAACCTCTGGGTCCGAGGGCCTTTGCTAAATTTGGAGAGGCGAGGTGAAGCCTCTTTGCGGGGAGGAAGAGGAGGAGGGGGGACTGGGTTGTCTCTAATAGACATGGCCCGGTGGATGGGGACTCGGCTCCCTCACCAGGGCATGGCCCAGTGTCAGGAGGTGCCACTGGTGCCACCATGATGGGGTGCCCCCAGAGCAGAAAATCCCCAGGAAAGCAGAGGGAGGTCACTGTCCCCAGCCAACCGCCCGCCGCCGCTGCAGCGGGCAGAAATGTCCCACGCCAGGATGGGGACAGAGGGCTGAGCCTGGCACTGGGGGCACTGTGGGCACTGGGAGCCAGGCGGGATGGGGACACAGCAGGGCCCCAAGCCCTGCACAGTCAGGTCACCCGCTGGGGGTGGCAGAGGTGCCATTGTCACCCTCCGCAGGGCCAGCGGGACCTGGGCCACCCACCGGCTGGTGTCACCAGCCCCAGCTGCATGGGGAGCCTGAAAAAGGGCCAGGAGCAGCAGCATCCTTGGCTGGGCTGGCCAACAGCCTGAGACCACATGAATGGCTCCCCTTAAACAGGGTGTTAACTCTGAAACCTACTAGTGGCTAACACAGTCACAGCTTTGAAGAAACCCTCAGTGAGCACACACAGCAGCTCCCAGCTGTGATGGCACCCCCGGACACTGGTCCTGTGACAGTGGGGAGGGGATGAGTCCCACACCCACTCCGCTACCTCCCAAAAAGCTGTCCCACCAGAGAAGACCAGAAAAAGTTGATTTCTCCTTCTCTGCTGGGTTTTACCAGAGCCTCTGGCCTCCCTCCAGCGCCCTTCATGGGGAACACAGTGGCTTGAGAAACCACGTGCAAAACACAACCAGGTGAGGAGTGGCAGGGGAAGGGGTTTGGGGCAGAAACCTCCTTTCATACCGATTTGCTTTGGGAGGAAAGTTTCCTGTGTGGTCTCCCTCAACCACAGCCCTTCCCTGGAGAAGGGGAATGCTGGCAGCTCCTGCCCGGCTGCCCCAGGCCCGTGGCCCCGCTTCCGTGGTGGTAGCAGTTGAGTCCCCTTGGGAACAGGACAGAGGGGACACGGAGGGGTCCCCAGTGGCCCCAGGGAGCCCAAGGGTGGCTGAACACCCACGTGGGGTCCGGCTGCCCAGCCTCATGGCTCCAGCACAGGAGCAGGATCCGGCCCCTGCGTCCCTCCAGCGATATGGGCAGCAATAGGGAGGTCCTGGGGGGAGTGGGGCCAGCTGCAATGTGTGAGTATGCACATGTGTGCAAGCGTGTGCAAGCGTGTGCATGCATGTGTACGTGCCAAACCAGCCAAGCCAGCCAGCTGCGGCTCTGCGGGAAGCAGGAGCTCCCTGCCGCATCCCCCAGCACCGCCGGGGCTGGCCGGGGAGAATTTAGTCAGCACTGGGGAGGGTCCTCCCTGGGGCAAACCAGTTCCCCAGGCACTGGGGGAACTGGAGGGACACTGGGACAGGCCCAGGCCTTGAGTCACCATGTGCAAAGGGAGGGACATGGTGTGGGGCAGGCTGCGGGGACAGGGACGGGCTCTGACACAGCACCCAGGGAGTGACACGGGGCTGGAGGGAGCCCCAGAGCACCCAGGGGAGGGGGGGCTGCAGGGGGATCCCTGCTGTCACCCTTCCTCCAGGCTGGGGGAAAGGGGAAGGTGACAGCAAGAAGGGGAGGGGAAAGGAAAAGTAAAAGGAGGTTGAGAGAGAGATGGAGGCATGAGAGCAAAATAGTGCTGGGGTCGGTAGGGGGGGAGGCAGGGCTGGGACAGGGACGTGTGTCCTGGGACCCCAGAGCACCCCAGTACCCTGGGGAGAGCTGGGGGCTGCAGAGCCTGGAGGCAGGGTGCTGGGGGGGTGACAGGGTGCTAGGAGAGTGATGGGGTGCCCAAGAGGGTGGCAGGGTGCCCAAAGAGGGGATGGCAGGGTGCTGGAGGGATGACAGGGGGCTCAAGAGGGTGGCAGGGTGCCCAAAGGGTGGGTGGCAGGATGCTGGGGGGGGGTGTGATGGAGTGCCCAAGGAGGGGCTGGCAGGGTGCTGGGGGGATGATTAGGCACCGGGGGGTCAGGTTTGCAGGTCTTTGGGTGCATTACAAGCACCCAGGTGATGGTCAGCAGCCTGCCGGCAGGGAAGGAGGGAGGAGGAAGGGGGGGTGCTGGGTGCTGGGGACGGGGAGGTTGGGACAGTGAGTGCTTGGGGACCACAGCGAGATGTCACCGCTTCCTCCCTGCCAGCACTTCAGAAAGACAGCAGGCGCCACCATCCCCCCGCCTGCACCCAGCACCCACTCAGTGCTGCTCAGCGCCTGAGCATCCTCCCCCTCCAAAATTTCGCACCTTCCCCGCTTGCCCGCGATGGCTCAAGATAAGTGTCTCTGGTGGCTCACAGCACACGGCTGGAGCTGAGAGCTGACATGCTCATGCTCTGTGTGACCTGCACAACCTCCCCCACCTCCCAGCAGCTGCAGGGGGCTGGTGGCATCCCCATGCCCAGGGGTTGGGACAAGGAGTCCCCAAGACCCACGCCCCCCACCCCCCGCTCCCTCTTGACCTGCAGTTGCTCTCGATGCGGGGGCGGCCTTGGTAGCGGGTGCTTTTCGGAAACACGCCCCCAGGCCTTCCCAGCCCTTTCTCGCTTTGCTCGAGTTGGGTTTTCCTGGAAGGGCCTGAAAGCTTAAAATAACCAGGGGTGTTGACAAGAAATGGCTTCGGGTCTGGCCGCCAAGCTGGCAGCCGGCAGGGAGAGCAGGGCCTTGCTGAGGTGCACCGCGCGCATCAGGTCTCTGCAGCAGCACATGGACACAGGGATGCTCCAACACCACTTGCCCAGGAGAGGTCTTTGCCCATGTCCGCAAGGGGCCTGGGGCACCCACGGTGGCAGGGACGGAGCCATCCCAGTCCCTGGGCTCCTCCAGGTGGCGCTGAGCTAGGGACTGTCCCTATGCATGGGGCATCTCCCCATGGGTGATCTCAAAGCACCCAAAAGCTCCTGGGCACGAGGCCCATTTTACAGGTAGGGAAACCGAGGCACGGCAGGAGCAGGTACATGAGAAGGGACCGTCCGGGCTGACGCAGACCTACGCCACCCCCCTGGGCTGTATTTTGGGCAGGGGGGGCTCAGCCCCTGTGCCTGTTTGCACCCATGGGCACACAGGGCTCTATCGCCTGCAGGCAGAGCTCCCCCCCAGGGTAACACTGGGTGCCCATGCCCTGTCCCCATGGGACAGGCATCTGGGAGGGTGCTGCTCTGGCCACAGCTGCAATGAGTTTCCAGGTCTCAGCACTGGGGAAGGGGCTGAGGGCAGGGCGGTGCTGGATGCAGCTGCAGGCATTTGGAGGTGATGGGCTGTGGATGTGCCAGCTGGCCTGGCTTCCCCAGGGTCATCCTGCCCAGGGCTTTGGGCTGGGGGGGGTCTCTAGCCCCCCGAGAAGGAGGAAAACCCCCTTTGCCAGACCAGCGATGAAAGGAGGAAGATGCAGGACAAGCTGATGCTTTAGGAGGTGAGATTCAGCCACAGGAGGGGAGGCTCTGCCTCCTTTCCCTGGTGTCCTGCCACATTGCCCTGCCAGCCCAGCTCCCCCAAAGCAATTTTCTCTCCTGCTGCCTGGGTTTGCTGTCAGGGGGAGCAAGGCCTGAACTGGGGTGGGGGGATTTAGGGGGTGAGGGAAGGTTTGTGAGCCCTGGTCTGCTGGAGGCTGCTGCCTCGGAGGAATACCTCTTTCAGCTATTGATTTCCCTTTATCAGAGAGCAGGAATATGTATGGGGCTGAAAACCTGATCAATCCCCGCTCTGCAGCCAATCGATCAGCTGCTGCCCAAGGGCTTTTAGCACAGGGAGCTGGGGGTGCAAAGAGGAGCTGCTAAATTTGGGCACAACTCATTGCTCCATGCCAGGACCATCTCTACCCGCCTTTATCCCCTCTTGCCTTTACCAAAAGGCAGCAAAGGCGCGGGGCAGCCTGGCACCAGGCAGCATCCCAGCGGGTCACCCCACAGGCACACTCCTTGCCCTTCCCTTGTCAAGCGCCGATGCCCTGGGGAGCCCCGTTTCTGATGGCAGCAGGATGGCCATGCTCCACCCCCTCCGTGGGCACCCCAGAGCCCCAAACCCAGGGGTGTGGGGCACCCACTGACACCCCAGAGCGGGAAAGCAGCCCCAGGGGAGCATTTGTGGGATGTTGGGAAGAAAGTGCCTGGTCAGGGCATCCTTGGGAGCACACCCATGTCTCCGGTTGGTCAGTGCACCCCCAGCCCCGTGTCCCCACGTGTGGGGAGGTGCCAGAGCATCCCTCAAACCTGGCTGGGCTCGTTAGAGGCACGGGGCGAGTGGGGGGCGCAGGGAGCCGGTGAGGGGGAGGAGCGGCACTGCGGCCTCCGTTATTGATTGCTTCATAGCCAAAGGTCAGCGGCGAGCGTGCAAGGACGGGGAGGAGGGAGGCGGGTGGCTCTGGGACGCGAGGGGCTCGCTGCCGGCACCAGGGCTGTGCCATGGGGGGCATGTGCCAGCTTCAGGGAGCGCAGGGCACTGAGCTGTCGTGGAGAGCCTGGCATGGGTTCCCATTGCAGAGCCACCCACTGGCCACAGATCCCCATCGTGCCTCAGTTTCTCCACCAGCAGATTGGGTGGCAAGGCTGTGCAGCGGCCGGCAGCACCCTGGGCTGTGCAGCTGGGGAAGGAGGTGCTGGGGACTGCAGGGAAGGGTCTGTGCCCACGGGAGGGCGGTGGAGGTGGGTGCTGGGGGGTCTGGAGGAGGTCTGTGTGTCTCTGTGTGCAGCCAGGAGGGCTGTGTCTGTGGGATGGGCAGGGAATGGGCTCAGCTCTCCCCGATGGGGATGCAGAGGCTGGTTTTGAGCTGGTCTCTGCCATCCTGATGGGCAGGTGGTGATGGTGATGTGCTGGGAGATGGTGCCGCAGCCCTGATAACACCATTTCCAGGGCCCTTCAGCTCCCTGGGACCAGCCCCTGGTGGGGTCGGCAGCACACTGAGGGCAGCCATCCCTGTCTCTGCCAAAGCTGTGGCCCACATGCCTGGGTTTTTCCCACCCCCGGAGCCTCATCCTGCCGGGCTCAGGACGTAGCAGTGGGACTGGACCCAGGCAGCACTGTGCTTCTTGCACGGGGCGTCTGCGATGCCGGACCATGGGCAGCACCGCCGGCTCCAGCAGAGCACTGCCTGCCCTTGCCCCAGCCGTGCTGCGAGGGGGAAGATTTACAGGCTGTCAGAGCTGGGGCCAGAGGTCAGCAGGGGTCAGAAAGTCCATTTCGGGGAGGTCACTGTCCACTTCTTTCAATCTAATGAAGCCATTATTTGTGAAAGCGGCCGCTTTGCCGGCTATTCCCTTGAAGCCGAGCGGGGCACAGCGACCGGCTCTGAAAGAACAGGAAGGAGTCCCCTTCCCTTTCGCATTTGCCATTCAACAGGCCCCCAAAAACAAATACACCACACACAGAAATATGACGCAGGGCTGTCACTGCTGCAGGGCTGTGTCACTGGGGCCGAGGGACGTAAAGGAAAGCTGCCTGGAAGTGCGGTGCTCAGGGATGTGACTGTCGCACTTGGATGGAAAGTCACCAAGGATGGGCAGAAATGGGGGTGTGTGTGTGTGTGCTGAGAAACTCGCTGCTGAGTTTAAGCAGAGTTATGGGAAAGCATCTCTGGGGCTGCTGGTCGCTCCCCTCCATCAGGAAGGGGCTGGGAGAAAGGACCTGCTGCACAGTGATGGATTATTTACCAAAGGATTTGTTTTGGAGAAAGCAAGGGCTGATTCCTTGCCACATCCTTCCCTGTACCCCTATGCCTCTGCCCACCTCCCGCCCTGGTGCAGGGTCTCCTCTCTGCCCTGGGACACTGTCCCCAGGCCGTGTGGGTGCTGGCATTGGGGTGTTCTCTCTGAGGAGAGAAGGGACAGAAACATTTCTCAGGGCTGCTCTACAAACCTGGGCCCTGGCCCTTCCCAGTGCCAGGGGCTTGTTCAGGTGCCCCTTATCCCCCACGAGTGGGCTAGGGTTGCTCGTGGGCTTTTTTTGCAGAAGCGCGGGAGCAAAATGCGCAGGCCGGCAGCT